AGAAAACTGCGGGTCTACGGAGTGGGAACTTTTCGGATTTGAAATCAGCGTGTTCGAAAGTGTTAGTTCCCGTAAAAGTATTTCAGATCTAAGGCATGCTTAATGAAAATCGTTTTCTAGGCACTTTTCAAGGTCACAACACACGGACTATAAGTTGAATGTTTATGACTTTGAATATCAACGTCATAAACATCTAAGTTAAATGTTAATGCCGAAGATATTCAACGTCATAAACATCTAAGTTGAATGTTTATGCCGAAGATATTCAACGTCATAAACATCTAAGTTGAATGTTTATGACGTTGAATATCAACGTCATAAACATCTAAGTTGAATGTTTATGACGTTGAATATCAACGTCATAAACATCTACGTTGAATGTTTGACGTTGAATATTACGTCATAAACATCTACGTTGAATTTTATGACGTTGAATATGAACGTCATAAACGTCTAAGTTGAATGTTGATGACGTTGAATATCAACGTCATAATCGTTGAATATCAACGTCATAAACATCTAAGTTGAATGTTGATGACGTTGAATATCAACGTCATAAACATCTAAGTTGAATGTTTATGGCGAAGATATTCAACGTCATAAACATCTAAGTTGAATGTTTATGCCGAAGATATTCAACGTCATAAACATCTAAGTTGAATGTTTACACCGAAGACATTTAACGTCATAAACATCGATGGTGAATGTTTATGCCGAAGATATTCAACGTCATAGACATCTAAGTTGAATGTTTACACCGAAGACATTCAACGTCATAAACATCGATGTTGAATGTCTATGCCGAAGATATTCAACGTCATAAACATCTAAGTTGAATGTTTATGCCGAACATATTCAACGGCATTCGACGTCATAACGTGCATCTAAGCTGAATGGTTATGCCGATGAGATTCAACGTCATAACTATTGAAGTTGAATGGTTATACCGAAGACGTTCAACTGCACAACCATCCAAGTTGAATGGTTATGCCGAAGGTATTCAACGTCGTATTCAGAGAAATGTTCAATGGTCTCTTTTGCAGTTCCAGGAGCCAGTTGTTCAAAGCTGGGCTAGCCTAACCTAGGCTACGTTAACGTAAAATTCATAGCAAACTTCCTAACAGCTTGTCCATACATTTGAAAATATTTGGTAAGAGATCTTGTCCGGATTGATAGGTGTTTATTGTACTTCCCTGAAGTTTTGAAATAAACAGACGTGCAGAAGTATACAAACTGAAACAGCGAGGTTAAATTTTAACCCAGGGTTAGCCACCTTTGAACAACCTGCCCCAGAAAGTGAAATAGTCTTCCACCCTTGTGTACCTGAGCATGAAGTAATTATGGTGTTTATTATATACATGACAAAATTACTGCAAACTGATTGGTTAAGAGGAGTGCAATTATTTCATTAATTGCACTCTCCAGGAGTGCAATTAATGATTTTCGTGATGGCTGGGGGAGCGGAAAATCAAAACAACAAAATCGAATATGGCGACGAAATTTAGATAAGTATTTCTAACAAATGTGGACGAGTTTAACTGAATTTTGGCACAAGAATAAGTTTAAAAAACATTCTATGGCAAAAAAAGCCTGTGAAAAATACCTGGAAACAGTCTTAAGAAATAATCTTGGCGGGATGCAGCGAAACGTGACTATGTAAGTTTGAAATACAATTTACAAAAATTTTCTTAGTCTAAAATATGTTGTTTGAGTTTGAATCTTGTGTTCTAGTTTAAGTTATGTGCCTTTATGAGTTTATAATCATTTCCCAAGTTTGTTTATTCCAAATTGCTTACAAAAGGATTTAAAATTCTTGACAAAATGCAGTTGAAATATAAAGAAAGCGATTTTGTCATGCATATAATAAATAAATAATCACACGGGCAAGTCGTGCAATTAATGATTAACACTACTCGTGATATTTGAAAAATATTTGGCACATTTTTCAAATATCACTCGTAGTGTTAATCACTAATTGCACTCCTTCCCGTGTGATTACCTATACAAACGGAACACTTTCACTCATCATGCTTTCTTCCTCGCCTAATCATTTGATTATTTCTTAATTGTAGTTACAGTTAGGACTTACGTTGTTTTTCTAGATCGTCCAATGGAATCTAATTCATCAATATACACAATACATGGAGCTCGTTTCTTGGCTTGATCAAACAGGTCACGCACACGAGCTGATCCTACGCCTGGGGAATAAGGCGGTAAAAATGGGGCATCAGTTTAACATGCAACAATTCAAGGTATTGATTCCGCCCGGCTATTTACACCCGGGGAAAGGAAAGCGTTAGCGAAGTCGAAAGGAGGAAACCTAAACTAAACTAACTTCATTTATACTCGATAGCTCTATCAGTTCTGAACTGTTCTTCCTAGAGGTCCAGTAAAGTACATTTGTTATTGATCCAGTGTTAGTACAGGAGGGAACCTAAACTAAACTAACTTTATTTATGCTGGATAGCTCTATCAGTTCTAAACTGTTCTTACTAGAGGTCCAGTAAGGATCATCTCTTATTGATCCAGTGTTACTACAGGAGGAAACCTAAAATAAACTAAATTTAATTATACTGGATAGCTCTATCAGTTCTAAACTGTTCTTCCTATATAGGTCCCAGTAAGGTCCATTTGTTATTGATCCAGTGTTAGTACAGGAGGAAACCTAAACTAAACTAACTTTATTTATGCTGGATAGCTCTATCAGTTCTAAACTGTTCTTACTAGAGGTCCAGTAAGGATCATCTCTTATTGATCCAGTGTTGCTACAGGAGGAAACTTAAACTAAACTAACTTTATTTATACTGGATAGCTCTATCAGTTCTAAACTGTTCTTCCTATATAGGTCCCAGTAAGGTCCATTTGTTATTGATCCAGTGTTAGTACAGGAGGAAACCTAAACTAAACTAACTTTGTTTATGCTGGATAGCTCTATCAGTTCTAAACTGTTTTTCCTGGAGGTCCAGTAAGGATCATCTCTTATTGATCCAGTGTTACTACAGAAGGAAACCTAAACTAAACTAACTTTATTTATACTGGATAGCTCTATCAGTACTAAACTGTTTTTCCTAGAAGTCCAGTAAGGATCATCTCTATTGATCCAGTGTTACTACAGGAGGAAACCTAAACTAAACTTACTTTATTTATACTGGATAGCTCTATCAGTTCTAAAGTGTTCTTCCCAGAGGTCCAGTAAGGGATCATCTCTTATTGATCCAGTGTTGCAACAGCAGGAAACCTAAGCTAAACTAACTTTATTTATACTGGATAGTTCTATCAGTTTTGAACTGTTCTTCCCGCGGTCCAGTAAGGATCATCTCTTATTGATCCAGTGTTGCAACAGCAGCTAGGAAACCTAAACTATATAAACTAACCCAGAGATCCAGTAAGGAACATCTCTTATTCATTCAGTGTTGCAACAGCAGGAAACCTAAACTAAACTAACTTTATTTATACCGGATAGTTCTATCGGTTTTGAACTATTTTCCATAGAGGTCCAGTAAGGTCCATCTGTTACTGATCCAGTGTTAGTATACAGGAGGAAACCTAAACTAAACTAACTGTATTTATGCTTGATAATTCTATCAGTTTTAAACTGTTCTCCCTAACGTGAGCATATGCTACTCGTGTCACCAAATAATTCTTACCAGAAAACATTTCAACAAATTCAGGACCGGCCATGGAAAGAAATGGTACCATTGCTTCTGTAGCAATTGCTTTTGCCAGTAGCGTCTTGCCAGTCCCAGGAGGGCCAACCAAGAGTGCTCCCTAAGAACAACGGGGGGAAAAAACAACTGTGTTTGTTTCATTTAAATCACGTAAAAGTGGACCAAACATTGGAAATGGGAAGAAAAATCATCGAATAGACTTTGGAAATGGAAATTAAAATCACAAGGCGACCATCGATGGCAATCCATATTAAATTCTTCGCACACGGCAATTACAAAAAATGCGGACAATAATTCTAAACGTTTGCAAGAACAATACCGGTTTTTATTGAAGAAACTTTAAATAAATTTTTTTTTTTCTGTGTTGGTGTTGTGTACTCAGGTGAATAATATGTTTGCGATGTTACTCTGAGTGCATATCCACACCGGGCGAGCTTGAAAAATATGCCCGGCCACGGTGGGATTCGAACCTACGACCTTTGGAATACTAGCCCAATGCTCTTCCAATCGAATCCCACCGTGGCCGGGCATATTTTTCAAGCTCGCCCGGTGTGGATATGCACTCAGAGTAACATCGCAAACATAAACTTTAAATAATTCTATAAATCTATTAATACCCAAGAGTTTGTAATTTATCTCATCGTTAAGCACGCATGCATTGAAGACTGGTAGTTGACAGCTTGTGAAATTAATAAATATTTTAGATCGGAAAACTCAAAAAATATGAACAATCGTGGTTTCGCCGCCAACATCTTTAAATCATTTAAATTTGTCAATCGTTATAGAAATCATTGAGCATGTCACAATCAAAGTCACGCAAATCCTATCGCTTTAAATGACGTTTACCTTCGGTATTTTTGCGCCCAATTCTTTATATCTGTTCGGCGATTTCAAGTAATCGACAAATTCAAGAACCTCCTCCTTGGCTTCACCCATGCCCCCAACATCTTTCAACCTTATCAAAACAGACAAAAGTAAATTCACTGCAAAAAAATTGACTAAAAAACTCAGTAACTATATAGAGAATAATACATGGGTGCGTGGAAATACCAGATTTATTTCGAGTGTTGAACAGGTTAAACAGTCTTTGAAAAGCGATAATATTTACAGAAAAGCGAAAATTGAAAAGCGATAATTTTCACATGTGAGATTATCATAAATAATCTCACATGTGAGATTATCACTTTTATCAGTGCTCGAAATCTCTATTAAGCACTATACTTTATATAATAAACAATAGTAAAAGGTAAAATAATTTTTAGTTAGTCATACTTAATACTTTATTTAAAGAGGGGAAAAATAACAATATTTACATAGTTACTATAGAGGTGTGCAAATCCGATCCGATCGGTTTTCGGAACCAAAATATTCACTTCGGATCGGATTGATAATGTTGTTTCGTAGTCGGATTGGACTTCGATATTCGAAATAAAATGAATTAATTATCCACGCACTAACGCAAGAATTAATTATCTATATGTATTTATCAAAGCATCATCGCGGTTGTCGCTGCATTATAATCACTTTATCAGTTTCTTGACATGTATTTCTTGCTTTTATATTTATTTGGTTAAATATTTCAACTTGAATGAGAAATTTATTTTATTAAAGAATTCTTCGGATCGGATCGGATTGGAATTCTTTATCAAAACTCGCATCGGATTCGGATTAGACAATTTCGGATCGGATCGGATTTTAAACATTAGGCAATTGTCGGATTATATAAACGTCCAGGCAATCCAATCCGATGCCCACCTCTAATAGTTACCACTAAGGTATTGTTCCCGGTATGTCCCTGATAAAGATACTATATATAATTATATACGACTGTATAACATGTTCTATGACCTGTTACCAAAGCATTGACAAAGCACAACATGTTTGCATGCATATAGCGCAGTAAAATTCATTCACATGTTGTACTTTGTGGTTCGGTTGGAGAAAGAATTCTTTAAGTTTTATTGTAAAAGATGAAACCGTATAATTTTTCAATAGTTTTTAGATCACTAGGTGTAAGGAATTGAAAAGACTTGCACCAGTATAGGACACCTTAGCTTTATTAATGTCGGTTTTAACTATAAAGGGTCGGTCTGATCAGACCTTGTGTTAGCAATGGAGATTTCGCGACAAAAAGCACACAAAATTACGTAGATCAACTGGTAATGACGTTTTCAAAAATTTAAAAACAAAAAGCAAACATATTAGTTTGTCAACGACTAAAAATATTGTTTAAGATCACTCGGACAAAATTTTGAGCAAATTTGCGAACATTTTCGTCAGAATTATCGTCTGGAAATCGCCGTCCCCTGTCGAAGATTGTGAGGAGGGCGGTCTTAAAACAGCCTCTACGGCGCATTGTATGGAAATAACTGATGACCACGCATTCAAGTCTTGAATGCGACATTTCTACCTTATGTCATTATTGCCACCTGCTTCGACGATTGTCGCCTTCGCCTTTACACGATCTTTCTGGAAAAAAAACCACCAAAAATTATTATTAATAGGAATTTTTGGGTTTAACGAGCGCTCTATAAAACTAGTGAGCGCAATCAGGATTTGTTTTGATTTACTATATTTTTACTATTCTTGTGTTTTCTATGCATTTAGAAAGACGAAAATAAACTAGAAAGCTAAAAGCTTTGGATGGTACGCCAAACACATCCAATAGTTTTGAACGCTTTTCGTCGGAAATATATGCGTAATATAGAAAAACATGCAGAAACCCGATAGAAATATTAATAGATATATAGAGAATGCGTAAACTGGAGTTATCGTTCCAGTATTTAAACAGTTCACTGGTTCTATATCTATATTACTTCTATGATAAACCCAAGCCAACAGAACCACTGGAAAATCTAATGTGTTCTTCACTTACAAAAGGATTGTTATCACCAAAGAGATTGGTATTCTTGGATGATCCTCCGGATTTTCCGCGGTAAAAGAAAACATACCAGAGAGCACCAAATATAATAAGGCTGATGGCTGCGCTGATAAATGCTGCTCTGTAACAAAACAACATCAAATTACACAAGTCGTAACAAACCTGCAACAGACCTGTAACAATGCTGTTCTACAGTAACAACTTGTCATCAGGATGTGTTCGCACTGCTTATTCCAAGCATGCTAGAAGAATGTTGAGCTCAATTAACAGACTTGTTACAAGTTGTTCCAACGACTTGTTATCGTCCTGCAATTCAACAATTTGTGAGTGACAAACTTGTGGCAACTTGGTAAAATAACAATATTGTTACAACTTGTAGTATTTAACAATGAGCCAGTTCGCTCAAACATATCTTGCAAATCCTTCAAAACTTAGAATTTACATATGCAAAAATCCTACTGTGATCACAGAAACTTTGAGAGTGTAAACTTTTAGGATAGATCTTTCTCGGGAAATATCGACACATGATATAGGTTCAGGCTTCGAATCGACGCCGTGTCAAACTAAATTTATTAGCCATGATGGCATTCCTTCTGCATACATACAGGAGTTCATTTTCCACTTTGTAGTTGACAGGTAAGTAATCATCCGGTGATATCCCCAGCTCTTTGTACACATTAATCAATTTCTCTTCGAAACTTTCCGCGTTCAATACTTGCAGCCGGTAGTGAGGACCAAATGACCGCACCTATGTCGTATGTAGATGGAGTTATTAGAGAGGGGGTTATCAGAGAGGGGTTATTAGAGAAGGGGTTATTGAAGAGGACATTATTAGAGAGAGGACATTATTAGAGAGAGGACATTATTAGAGAGAGGGGGCTATTAGAGAGGGGGTCAATTAGAGAGGGAGGCAATTAGAGAGGGGGGCAATTAGAGAGGGGGGCAATTGGAGAGGAGGTCAATTAGAGAGGGAATCAATTAGAGAGGGGATCAATTAGAGAGGGGGTCAATTAGAGATGGGGTCACTTAGGGAAAGGGGGTCAATTAGAGAGGGGATTAATAGAGAGAGGATACTAGAGAGAGGGTTATTAGAGAGGGGCTATTACAGAGGGAGTCATTAGAGAGAGGGGCTATTACAGAGGGGGTCATTAGAGAGGGGGGCTATTAGAGAGGGGGCTATTAGAGAAGGGGCTATTAAAGAAGGGTTCTATTAGAGAGGGGGCTATTAGAGAGGGGGTTAGTGGAGAGGAAGGTTATTAGAGAAGGTGGTTTAGCAGATTTCAGACCCTGTAACAAACTCATATTTTTCACAGGAACAGCATGTTCCATCGTACCAATCTAATAGTATACATTTACCTCCTTGCCAGCCACAATAGCACCTCTGTGTAAATACACATACACAATGTCACCAGTATGTCCAATATCCAACTTTTCTATCTGCCATAGACGAAATTTAACACCATAAAATGAACAAAGCAGTATTTATCATTTTGAGAGTTTAAAACAATTTTGCATTTTGAGAGAAGAAAACAGTTTTGCTTGCATGGCAGGGCTCGAAATAGCGGGCTGCCAATGACCAAAAGCAGGCCATATTTTAGAAATGGCGGGCAAAAACAAAGCCAGGCCTTCTGTTTTGTTAATGAAAAACTGACCGCCTACCTCTCCCGTTGTGAGCATTTCACGATAAAACGTGTTCCAAGTAATCTCCGGCACAGGGTCCCCATTTGATCCAAGAAGATATAAACCTCCGAGAATAAAACTCAACAACAGAAAGATATTCATTCCATTAGGGTCATTGAAACTGGAATTGGGAAGCTCTGAAAGAAGAGAAAATCACTTTTTTCCAACAGGATCAGGCTTCTTCATTTTTGATATTACAGAAGGTAACTCTACTACAGGTATGTGGGTGAGGGAGGTGCCCTCCTAGAGAAGTCCAGTGCCACCTTAAAACAATCTGCTTGACCATACATTTTCTGCTTTTCAAATAGCAATTAAGAACTTCTACTGTTCGTGTGTGTCGATTTCTTGAAACAATTTGAATTCAATTATATTGTACGTTAACAAGCAAATTTACTGTACTGTGCTACAGCAATTGTCCAGTCACACATATGTGATAAAAAGCCAGTATAAACTTTATAAACAAAAGAAAATGTAAAACGCAAAAGAAAGGTGATCTCAAACAATGGTAATGTTGTGTGTCGTTGCAGACTGCAGACGAGGCTGCAGATTAGAGTGGGCACTAACTCCAGTAAGGCTCCCTCATGCACCACCCCATGGAAAACCTGTACCCCCCCCCCCCTAGCAAATGAGGCTAGATCCATAAGGCTAGGCTTTATGCAGTGGAAAACCTGAAGAATTTTTCACATAGATCTATGATTTATGACATTTAAAGTACTATTAAATAGAACACAAAAATCTAATTTTAATATCACCTGGTGGTTTGGGTTTGTCTGAATCTGATCTATCATCCATGTTTGAAAATAAAAAAAAAGGCTCTATGAAAACAAAATGGGAAAATACTATATAGGAATAAAGACAATTAATATATAGCAATCCAAATTTCCTGGAAGATTTAATTAAGTTTGAATTTCTATGATAACTCTTAAATAGGAATTCCTAGGTGGAAAATGTTTTTATCTTTCTGGGAACCTCAGGGGTTAAATAGGGCTCAAAATTGTCTGCAAAAGATTACAATATAATATTATAAGGAGCTGTCTTTTTTACCTTATATTGATTTATTCGATTATGTTCTTACAAGTTCTTAAAGATGTGTTGTCGTACGAAGCAATATGTCTTTGAGACTGGCAGATAAGGCATACAAGGTAAATCCTGAAGTAATCATAGCAGTTACAGTTTTACAGTCTTACAGGATTAAAAGCAAATTTCCTATCGCAGGTGATATGAATATTTCCGTTCCGAACTGTTCCGCTGTAATTTAGGTATCAAGTTAGTAGATTATTCTGGTATTCAATCATTTCAATAATCAGGTATTTAGTGATTTAGATATTCAATCAGTGTGTAGTTTAATCAAACTGAAACATAAAAAAAATCTGAAAATTTCTGCAAAAATGTAGATCGGTAGAACCACAAGGAATATCTGGGAACTAGGTTCCCTGGTTCCAATACTTTTTCCACCTCAGGGAATTCTTATAGGAACTGCATTCTCCAAAGGATGTCATATAAGAATAATCTGAAATTTCTTCAGGATAAGCATTTTTCGTGAGGCCTAAAAAAATACCTGTGGTTCCGGTTCCTGACCGACCCTATTTTTTTCTGCCGACCCTATTATTTTTTCAATGTGATTGACCGTGCAACCCTATTTTCTCTGGGTGGTTGCAGGCTGCTCATACAGCGTGCCGAAATGGCATCAGTAAATGTTGTCACACTAATTATTGAACCAAATTGCCTAAATTCGTCCATAGGAAATAGTCCGAAATACACATCTCTAGTTAATGTTGATGTCGGGACTCGACTGCAAATCATCCAGCAAAAAACTGCCAAAACCATAAAAAAAATATTCAAAATAAAATTTATTTCCAACTTACCGACCCTAACTTTTTTACGATATGAAACCGGAACCACAGGTATTTTTTTTTTAGGCCTGAGGGCAATTTCAGTTGAGTTAAAGTTGTTTCGCATCAAGTTGAATTCCATTGCACCATAATCTGCTAATTTACTCTGTCTAAGGCCAGATGATTTTACCCATCAAGGGGAGAGCGCTAGCTGCTGGTGCTCAGTGGTTAATCAGAACATCTGCTCATGTGTCTAGTTAGGCGAGACTTTTGTTATTTATTGGTTTACGGATTTGACTTTAAAAATAAGAGGTCGGTAGGTTGGAAAAAAATTTTTAAAAAAAACTGAGTATAACTGAGAACCGAAATTAATAATCTTTATAAAAATTTTTAACGTCAATTTTAAAAAAAAAAACGCAAAAAACGTGGCTAATCTACATATTGATTGTCACAACGATAACATGAGCCAGCAGTACCTAGAGTCAAAGTTCACTTCAAGTGTACTTCATGTCAGAACCCCAAATTAATTAAAATTACTAAAATTGTAAAATTTTTGACATCCAAATTTTTTTTTTATTTTTCACTTTCTGAATATTTACGGTTGGCGGATCCGTAAACCAATGAATAAAAAAAGTCTCGCCTTAATTTAAGCCATTAAACCGATGCGTCTTACTTTGTTATTTTACTCTGTCTTATGCCAGATGATTTACTCATCAAGAGAAGAGAACTGCACTCAATGGGTTAATCAGGCTATCTATCCAAGTGTCTTAAGTTAAGCCATTAAGTTGCATTGTACCCCTAATGCACCCTAGGGGTTATCAAAATTCAAAACAAGGGCATTGGTAAAAACTGAGGGGCTTCATTGGCCAAGTGGTTAGTGCACTTGCCTTTCACCTCAGAGGCCACAGGTTCAAGCCTCAGTGAGAACTTTCTCAATGCGACTTGAACCCAGTCCTCATGTGAAAAGAGCAAAAGTCAACGCTCTGCCGAAAGTCATGGGTTTTCCCAGGGTACTCCGGTTTCCTCCCACAGGGAAAGTTGACAGGGTGGGTTAGGTAAAAAGGGCCCACAGTAATTGGCATATGCTGTTGTGAATAAACTGTTGTGGTGTCCCCGCCTCTTGTTCTGTCTCATGTATATGAATTGTTGTACTTGTATTGTGTACAGTTTTTTTCAAGGCAAAGCTAAATAAATCAATAAAAACAAGATTTTAAGAATATCTTATCCACAGATTGTACACATACCATTTTTTTTCCGAAATAGTTTGCTTAAAAAGCCACCAGGAATAAATCTGAGATTTTTCATTTTCGTACGAGGCTGCCTGATGAACATCTATAAAATATGTCATGCAGAAATTGTATTTTGTTGCAATTATAAACTAAAAATGGTCAATTAAGTCTTAGGGGAACATTTAGGTGGTGTGTCCAGTCTGTATATATGTATATTGTAAGAGATTTCACTACAAGTACAAGTACGAGATTCATTATTACTCTTAGCATGGCCAGAAATCACGGGCATAATTTATTCTACCTCTTTTGTAATTTGCATATCAAGTTGAAATAATATACCCTTCCGGAAAGTACGTCACTTTGGCTATAGAGCCTCGTTTTCATGTATGTGATATCAGTTAAAGTCCACGTCTCAAATATCACGAAAACGAGGCTCTTAGCCAAGGTGACATACTTATTACTTTCCGGAAGTGCGAAAGCCCAGGTAGTGATATTTCAGGTAGTTGCACCAACGAAAGCTTCATTTTATTGGCACTACCTACACTGGCAAAGACAGTTCAATATTAACCCTTTAAGTGGCAATGCACGCTGATGCACCCTACTTTAGTATTTTACTCTGTCTAACACCAGATGATTAAATTACTAGTCATGGAGGTGCTGCCACTCAATGGGCTAACCAAACAAACTGCTCATGCATACTCTTAACCCTTTACGTGGCAATGCACCCTGATGCGCCCAATTCTAGTATTTTACTCTGTCTAACGCCAGACAACTTTACTAGTCAAGAGGAGAGTGCTGCCACTCAATGGGTGCAGATTTCAGATTTCAAATTGTTTATATCAAGTTCTTTCCAGGGATGCTAAAATTTTTCTTTATAAAAATAACAAATCTCGGGACCGACTTCGACCAACTCTGCAGTCTGGATTCCGAGTGCTATTCTTTTTCAAATTTCGCGCTTTACGACAGAATTATCAAATTACACGCATAAATTTTCAACATAAACAAACCTGTGGGATTCCATCGAGTTTCTTAAATTCCCCATCACATCCATGCGTGAAAATATGTCTCGCAAAACAACCCAAACACCTTTCAAAGCCAGGTTTTGGTTTCCGCACAAACAGTGCTCGCTTCAAATCAGGGCACTGCATATTATTCAATTTTCCACACGCGAGCGTATTTGCCATTGTACGCCTTCCAAAATTTGATAGAAACGTGTTCCTTGCTAGTAACATGCGCATCTTGTACAGTCTTAAATAGCTTCGTCAGTTGTAGAATTTAAAACGAGATTTAGCCATTACAGTATGAAGAAAAGTCGATGTTTTCTTGATTATTTTGAAAATATGATTCGGCCGCCATGTTTGTTTGGTTTGCTCAGCACCAAACATCTAAGACCCCCCTGGATTCCTAGTTAAAGGGAGAGCTACCAGGCGGGGAGAAATACATATGGGGCTCATTGGGAGGATCTACCACTGAGCGATCTAGGATCTACTCTAATAGAGAATAATAGAGAGAAGGGCCTATTCTCCAATTAGTTGTCGATTTTTCATCTTCATTTTTCGCAGAAATGGATCACAGAAATTAAATCTTCATGCTTAAATTGGTCTCTGTGTCGTAAAAAAATCATAGATGTGCTGTCAACATAATAATCTGTCTTTACCTCTTTATAAAGTTACTTTATGGCAATTTACAGGTTCACTCATAACAAACTTTAGTCCATGCAATTAGTTGATATTATATTCTAGTTAATTATTAATTAATGCTCATTTATTCTATTCATATGTATCTTCTTTACAACTAGAGAAATTTGAGTGGCATATCGACGTCAATTATTCCACGAATGCCTTCGTCTACACCAAAATATGACCCTGGAGGCGCAGGGGGGCCGCACCCACCAGGGATGTACCATGGACCACGGAGGTGACCAGATATGCGAAAAAACATGGTGTCAACTTTATAGTGAAGTCTTCCATTTTCATATGACACGATCTCTACTCCCTTCTTAAACGACGACACGGGTGTCCGTGGTGTAATCTCCCAGCCAGGCGGATAATCAAAATCGGGCAAGGGTATTTTGTTCAAGCAGACAAACTTTAGAGTATTCTTTAACTCTTGAACAGTTGTTGTTGGAGAGACTTGCTTGGTGAAATGAATGGAGAAATAATTTTGTTTCCCTGCTCAGGAACTGAGATGTGTCTAAACGTAGGACCATGTTCTAAACGTCCAAAGAAGTCCTGCTCTACTAAACCATTTGAAGGTGTATCTGCCGTGAACTTTATTTCAATTGTATTATTTCTGGCTTTCAACCAGTCTTTAACGCTTGATTCAATGGCTTTGCATGTATTCTCACGCTCTAGATCTGTAGCCATATTTTTTCTAAACATTCAACAAAATGACACATATTTTTAGGATAAAAAACTAGCACCATGTACAGACTATGTTATATGTTAAATACCGAGATTTTGTTGGCATCTCAATCGATTGAATACCAGTTAATTAAAGGGTTTTGTAGATTTCTATATAGTATGATAGACCTAACCAGGAATGACTGGGAAATACAGTCCATGGCAATAAATGCCAAGAATCAAACCTGCGATTCCGGTGCAGTGCCTAAACCAACTGAGCTATATAGATCGAGTCCAACTGTTGTGCTCCAACCACAAGTTCATGTTTTGTTGGCAATTGAATAATAGTTGAAGGGCTAAATGTTGATGGAAATTATCAAGTCCAAAACCTATTATATAACATGTTAAATTTAGGAACACAACGTTTTGTTTTTTACCCCCTTCCCAAAGACATATCGGTTGGAATGCCCTTTCGTTAGTTCTCAGAGGCTTTCAGTTTTTTAATCAGAATTTTCAAAGGCTTTCAGTTTAAAATTTAGGAATTATGTGAACAATAATTAACATAAACGTTTCTATGACAATAATTTGTGCACCAAAATATGTGCGCCTTTTTCCATACTGGCAGATTGCGCTTGAAACTGCTATACCATCAATGATACAAACTCTAACAATCTGTGCCAGCCAGTATAGGTATAGTGATAACAACACCAGAAAGCTGCGGACTCAACTGAGAGTAGCCTGCAAGGCCCTCTTATAATAGCCTGAGAGCTTAAGGGATAATTCGACTACCGGCCTGCATGAGAAATATAAGGAAAACTTCAACATTTCAAACAAAGGCTTTCAAAGTTTTCCTTGTATTTTTCAAGTATAGTTGAATCCGTCTCATCTGTAGCTTTTTGGTATTACCAACAGACTCAATAACCATTGATCTCACCAGCTGATGAACCCTCGATAATTTAATATTTTGGAATGACATTTAACTAAACAATACTAGATTCAGGTAATAGATTTGAACCTTTGCCATTTGCCAACAAGCTGACAGATGTTTTGTAATCAGTTAAACAATTATCTTAACTGACCTCGATATATTTTATTCAGAGAATACCACAATACAATACGAAACCAAACGCCAATACAAATATATTTGGTTGCAACATTCAGCTCTAATTCGAAAACAAAGTTGGGTTTCATTTGAATTCTAATGAAATATTTAGAATATTCGTAGAATATTCTAATTTTCTTCCCCAAAAATTATCTTCCCAAAAATTATCTCCCCCTATACTTTCAGTACCTAACTTCATTTTGCATAAATATACTGGAACGAAATTTGAATAGTAATAAATGCTGTGAGGGGGGGGAGGATGGGGGAGAGTAAAATAGAGAGAAAGTTATAGAATAATATAGAGAGAAGAGATTATTCTCCAATCTGAATTCACTTTATGGATTTTTCATCTTCATATATATTCCAGAATTGAAATCTTCATTTGCGGCAAATTCCAGTCAGGTCTGTAAGAAACAGGGACCGCCAAGCAGGGAAGCATGCCCTCAGACCCCCCTAGTAAACTCAAGCCTTCGGGCATTCGCTAGCCCCAATATCCAAATTGCTCTGCAGTCCCGAGAAAACAAATTTTTCAAAACGCTGTAACTCGCAAATGTCGGGCATATCACCGATCTCCATATTGCCACTTAAAGGGCCAACAAAGTATTGGTAATATATAATATACATATGGTAAGATATATTACATAAAACCAATTTACAGACTGTTTGGCTTTATGTATAATAACAGTTCATTGACTAGTTTATTTTATTTATACTGATAAATAAGTCATGTATTTACAACAAAATACAAGCTGCATGTTTACACAAATTAATGCATGATATCAAATATAGTTTGTAACTTTGTTTTGTTATTACATTATTATAAGTCCAATTAGTTGATATGATTCTTAAGTTAATTATTAATTAATGCTTATTTTATTCTATTTACCATATCGTCTTTACAACTAAAGAAATTTAAGTGGCATATCGACGTCAATTATTCCACGAATATCTTCGTCCACACCAAAATATGACCCTGGAGGCGCAGGGGGACCGCACCCCCCAGGAATGTACCATGGTCCACGAAGATCACCAGATATGCGAAAAAACTTGGTGTCAACTTTATAGTGAAGTCGTCCATTTTCATACGACACGATCTCTACTCCCTCCTTAAACGACGACACCGGTGTATACGGGGTGATCTCCCACCCTGGCGGGTAATCAAAATCGGGCAAGGGTATTTTGTCCAAGGTGATAAACTTTAGAGTATCCTTTAATTCTTCAATGGTCGTTGTTGGAGAGACTTGCTTAGTGAAACCGATGAGGAAATAAATTTTGTTTCCCTGTTCAGAAGTTGAGCTATGGACAAAAGAAGGACCATGTTCTAAACGTCCAAAGAAATCTTGCTCTACCAAACCATTCGAAGGTGTATCTGCCGAGAACTTTATTTCAATTGTATTATTTCTGGCTTTCAACCACTCTTTAACACTTGATTCAATGGCTTTGCATGTAGCCTCTGACGCCATATTTTTTCTCTAATTTGACAAATTAATGATATCTTTAGGATCAAAAATCTACTATAGAGTCAGCTGTAGCTGTTTAATGACAGACTGTCCAATGACAACTGGCCTCTGTAGCTCAGTTGCTACAATACTAGATTCATGCAGTACATATTAGATCTATAGACTAGCTGTGCAATTGACATTTGAACCTTTGCCATTTCCCAACAAGCCGACAGATGTTTTGTAATCAGGCATACAGAAATACAGAATATCGATCTGTACGACATTTAATAATAGGTTTATATTAAAATCTCAAATAATTGTAACAATTATCTTACCTCGATACTAGTATTTTATTCAGAGAATATACCACGAATAATGAATAAGATATAAACGCCAATACAAATGTCTTTCGTTGCCAAACTGAGCTGTATTATAATTACGAAAACTCTAATTCGAAAACAAAATTCATTTGAATTCTAATGAAATAATTAGAATATTCTTAGTGATATATTCAAATTTTCTTCCCCCAAAAAATCTCTTCCCAAAACTCTTAGCTGAAATACTTCATTTTGCATAAATATACTGGAACCAAGTTGCCCCTAAACTTTGTTTTCAAAGTAAAATTTAGTAATAGACCATTTTTGGCAAAGATTTGTAGATGGTG